TATTATTCACGAGCTCAATTAGTATGTCACGTTGTTAACGAGGTTGGCCGCGACGGCAGCAGCTAGCCATCCTGAAGCTGCAAGCCTCGATTTAACAATGTCGCGCCGCCGATCCCGGCGATGGTAACGGCGCCTTTGAAAGTTAATTAATTTATTGTTGAGCTGCGTTCGGTCTAACAAACTGTCGCCGGCACTTTTGCGACCGACACGCTGCGACAGCGAAGCCTTAATTCCGCTTCATTCATCATAACATCCTAGCATGCGCGATTAATCCAGTGGAAGCTGAAACAAGCGCGTGATTTCGCTCTGTGCATAAATAACAAAGAATACCCACGTTCTCAAGCTCGGTACTGTATGGTGCGAATTTGTGGAAATTTATTGTCGCAGAATAAACCGAAATCTATCAGTAATTTGCGCAACGTTAAAGGAATCTCGGGATAACATTTAAAAAGTTTAACACAACAATAATAATAATTAACATTTCAGTATAAAATAATAAAGTTGGATAAAAAATATATATAGGATGAAAATGAAATGTATACCTTTAAATATTAATTATTGTTGCCACAGAAATTCCTTGTCCTAAAATTCCACACTTTTTCCCTGATTTCCAAACAAAATTTCATGATTTTCCCTGAAGTTTTCAATAATGTCTTAAAAAACTTTTTTGTAATTCCGTCTTGATTTGGAAACCATCAAATATTTTGTTGAAAGAGCAACTTAAATTACTATTAACGTTGCTGATACTATTTATAATATATTTAATTGTTAAGTTGATAGTATTCTAAAATTGCGTAAGTGTGACGTATATGTTTCTTTAAAGCAAAGAATTTTAATTTTTCAGAAAATTTTGCAAAATTTCTTGATTTTTCTCCGATTTCCAGTTTTATGACAACCTTATTATGCAACAATAGAGAATGTTATTTGAATATAAATTAATATTTAAGTCATATTTCATGTTTTATTTTGAAAATTCTCACATTTCTGTGGTCTACCCCATTATTAATATTAACCTTTAAGTAAGTAGATGGGATGACCACAGACTCCAGGCATAGTTTCCTAAATATCCTTATTCTAGAAAATGAAAAGTCCAAATGTCTTAGAAGTCTTAAAGTTCATTATTTTTGCATTCCTCTGACTCATAAAAGTAATAGTATAATTATGTATATTGTAAATTTAACTATAACATGATATACTACACTGAAAAAAAAGATTGGTTGAATATGGTATAGCATTTTTAATTGGTTGCAGTAGCCAATTTTTGATTGCGTTAGCCTGTCGTTAATCCTATACTGAAATTGCGGATAAGTTAACACAACTGAAAATTAGTTCCTACAACCAAAAATTGGCTGTTGTAGCTAATTAAAAATGCTCTGCTATATTTTATCATCTAATTTGCTGCAACCAACTTTTCTTTCAGTGTAGTAAAAAATACAACCATAAAAATAAAATTATTCGTGGGACATTTTGAGCACCCTATCAACTTGCGTATCTTTAGACGATTTTTTTCACTTGAACGTTAAATAAGTAATTATAAGTCATTTTTGCAAACCCGTATGAATATAAAATTACAGTGGGAATTGCAAACTCGCTGTGACAATTGGGATCAGAAAAAGGAGTTACTCTGGATAAGAGAGAGAGAGCGCGTTCGAACAATGGAAAGTCAAAGGAATAATGGAGTAGGCGGAATAAATTATGTCCGCGACTCAGCGTCCGCAACTTTGTGAGCCACGCGGCAAATTACTTTCGTCTATCGATCTCGCACGGTGCTCCCGCTACGCTCGCGTTATAATATAATACACTTCGGCTATCGTTGGTATTAATAATTGCTCTGCCGCAATATCACACATGCGCGCATCCCAATCAACGTTCTCGCGAACTTCGCAGTACGCCGCGCGCTCCGATGACAGTGGAAATGATTATATTTGTCGTGTGGCTCTAATGTCGGTGATGAAAGTGCAGTGTTATGAACAACAAGCCGCGAGATTGATGTGTATTGATTGCCGTAAACGCCGCATCACGCATATCCATCATTGCGACTAACAAAAGTAACGATGTCATTAAATATTTTTCCGCAACGCATGACAATTTTGCTTCCAGCGCGTACCAAATATTATTTGAAAACAAACTTTAAAACAAATTTCAAATCTAAAATTTTATTGATTAAACACAATCTTTAACCCTTTAGCGCCACACTACGTTTCTGTTACGAATCGAACACATTGTGTGTGAGTATTGTATAAAAATAAACATATTATAATAGGGCAACTCCGGCAAATACGCCGCGCTGGGATTTATGCCGCAGAAATCAGTAAAAATAGAAGGAGTGGGGATAATTTTCTCGCAACTATTCTGTTACATGCCTTTATATTATATTAGTATTACGATTTCAGCTTCTTACTGTTAATATTAATGAAATTATTATGAGTTGAATCAATTTGTCACTGTAATAAGTAACGCCATCATAAATTAAAGTCTACATACAATGATTACTGTAGGACGTGTAAAAGACTTAGTGGTTATTTCGTGATACATACGTGTAGTGGAATAGTAAAGCATGTTGTACAGCAAAGTACAAGGGCTTTGCTTTCGTATTCTTTGTTTAGTTTGTTATCTTGTATATCCCACCTGTTTGGGCATTTTCAGCGTGCGGAATTTATGCTCAGAGCATACAAAGCGCGCAGATTGAATTCAGTGCACTAAATGCAATAAACGCATTATATGAAATATGTACCCCATGTCATAACATTTGTAATATATGTAGGAAGATTGTAATTATTATTTATTATTTCATATACATATTAACCATTCCTATTCCTTAATAAAACTTTATAAACACATTTTATAAGTTATTATATCATTTTACGTCTTATTTATATGCATTATTTATAAATTTTTCATGAGCCGTACATACCGCCTCTCCCCCTATGAGTAGCCACATATTTCACCTCCATATGGGATATACGACAAAAATGCAAGGGTTTCAAAAAGTTTATTTTTTAATATGAAAAATAAATATTTCAAATTTCTAATATTTTTTTCATAATAGTAGACAGTACAAAGTTTTTACTGGTATAGTTCGTTTATTTTAAACATAGAAAATAATATTTAATAAATTAAATTTTTGATGCGGCGTATATACCGGAGTTATCCTATAATATCTTATAGAACTGTATACGTGATAACACAAACTATAGAAATGCCCCTTAAACGGTCTATTATGATATACTTTTTTCAACAAAACGTCAGACATTAAGGAATATAAATGGTAAGAAAAATGTATATGTATTTTTATTAATAAAGAATAGGATATAAAAGAAACAGTCGGCTATTTCGAGAATGGTACCGAAGGATTAAATATTTAATTGACTTTTCTCTCGATCTTCTTTCTCTTCTTTTTTTTCTCCCTGTAATTGCATTCGATAAAAATATAATTTATATGAAAATTGAAGAAGAGCGTGATTTTGAAAAATAAATAATTTATCTGTCGCAGATAAAAACGATTCGAAATATTATAATATTTATAGAGTCGTAAATTATACATGGCATGCGATACATCACAAAGAAATATCAAGAAACTGCTCTTTCAGACAACTGTGCGTTTGAATTTCTTTCTTGGGCCAACGTAAATAGTAGAGACTGGAAATTATTTGTCTAGACACGCGATATAAACATTGTAAACGCTCGTTACAGGTCAGACGAAATTTCTCACCAAGTCGTCCCGAAATTTTGCCTGTCTAACGATTACATTGTCTGCAGGAAATTAGATTTCTTTGTTCTCAAGATTCGTACATACATGACTGCTTAGATTAACTTTGTCAAGACGCATTTATATTAACTATTTCAAAGCAGCACATAAGTAATATGTGTAACTGATCTTTAATTAAAAATTGAATTAAATAAATTACACACTAAAAACATTTCGTATTTGTGTTGGAAACAGTGTACTCACGTTTTTGTTAAAATTTCGTGTTGATTCTTTAAATATATTTGAATGTTAATTTAACACCATGTAATTGTTATTTAAATAGTTTGTGTTAAATTAATATTTAGCATTTCTTAATGTCAAAATGATACAATTTATAAGTATAAGTGGACAAATGATATAAAAATAATGTGTTTTAGACTGTAAATTTTAAGACGAATGAATAAAGTGTGTTAATTCAATATATCATAAATGTTAATTTTATTGAAAGAATACGCTTTCACGGTTTCTTTACAAATTGAGTATTACTTTTTCTGAATTTCTTCTTAAATAATATTTGTGTTACTTTAATACAAGATAAATATGTTACTTTCTAATATATTTATCTTGTATTAAATTAACATATCAATTAGAGTAGATCATTTGGGACACGCGAATTGTGTTAAATTTAACACAAATTTCCAACGGTATACTTATTACAATTGGAAATTCAGACTTTTAATTATTAATTAATTCTGCAACGGACGAGTATTTATCTTTTTAAGAAATCTATTTTAAGTTATTCTTCGAAATAATATTAACATTATAATATCGTTAAAGATAGATGAAAGGAGACTTAAGAGACTGGAAACAAACATAAAGGTAATTCGCATAAAAGTTAGAAAGAAGTATATTATCCAGTGCTTGTTGCCAGTACTAAAGACTTAATGAAAATAAGCTAGCATTCCATATTGCATTTTGTATTTTTACAATTTGCCTGAAGACTCATTTCGTCATCTTAAATACCTCCATTATTTCTTCATTAAGCTAGCCGCTTGAATACTATTAATAAAGAATATGTCATAAAGTGAAATGATTCATGTGAATATTTCGTTGCAACATTGCACACACAACGTAAAGCTTAACAGGACCCGCTATCTAAAAGCTCTTCGCGGCGGTACACGAATTTAACGACGTTACCTCGAACGTTAAGTTGCGCATCGAGTATTAATTAATTTGAAGCACGTCGAAGCAGACGTGAAAAGCGATGGCAGAATAGGAAGAGAATTTTGATGTAGTGAATTTTTTTGCGCAGGAGAAACATGAAGTAACGGATAGCGACACATCTCGTTGCCCCGGAGGGCTCGCCAGTGTCTGGAAGCAAAAGATCGGTGGACACGGAGAAATACGGCATGGATTTCCCGAAGCGAGAATGGAGCCACAGGCTCAGTCTTCGTGGCAGCCGTAGGACTCATGAGGTAAACCATTTCGTCGAAAATTTCCACAGCTTTTTCTTTTCAAAGCGAGCGAACTCGTAAACGAAGCGTACACCAGAGAAATTAATGTATTAAATCGAAACACATGTCGATATCTCGTATCCTTCAACATTTCGTCGTTCGAAATGTCAGCGATGTCGAAATTATAAATTGCCACAAGAAAATCATACCGTAACTAAATTTATTAATAAGATATTTCTTTCCTTGTTACATTTCGTATAATTGAACGCGTCAGTAATTAAACGCGATAGGTACAATCGGTCTAGTTCTTGGAAATTGCAATTTCTGAAAGTTTATAATTTCTGGAAAAATTATTGAACCACTAACTCTTCGTATCACGGTTATACAGTTGCTTTCTACTTGACTGCATGTCATGCCACCATATGCTGGCGATTACGCATAAAAGAGAAAAGTAAAGACTGCGAGTTTCATGCAAGAGATGCATGCTCTTGCATACATTATTCATAAACGGGTTTCTCGGTAAGACTGAACGCGTTGTTCGCGTTGCTGCCCGATATCGTATAACGTTGCTCAGGCATACAAAAATTATATTTTTACATATCGTCACGAAATATCGTAGTTGCGAAAAGGTAAATTAAACGAATGCATCTGTATGCATTATTTCAACGTAATTGCGTTAAGTTAGTTACGTTATATATCTTCCAACATCGATATATGGATTGACATAAACATATAATTTAATCATTGCACGTATGCACATTTATAATAAAATTTATATTGTTATTACTTTACGAATCGATATTAATACCGGCAGATATATAGTTATTCAGAAGCGGAAAATTATTTTATATACGATGATGTAGCATAATAAAAATACATTCGCGTTAAGAATGTATTATAGACATGTATTTTTTTTTTCTTATGAAATGACAAAATTATAAGAAGTTACAGACTTTTTCTATATTATATATTTGAGTGTAATACAAAAATTTGCCGACAATTTAGAATCTGGATTAAAAGCTATTTTAATAAAAGTAAACATGTTTTTAAAAAAACAATTAATATAAAATGAGAAAATTTTCTCATTTAAACTATAAAATTATATTATTGAATATTTTAAATATTGACCTTATTGAACTGCTTCATGTGTACATAGAACATTCATTTTTCAAGTATAAATTTCCAATTCCAGTCACTTTTTGCAGAAACTGTGTACACCTGACGCCTACCTTAAAATAAAGTGTATATCAATGATATACCAGATACAGATCTCTATACGGAATTGGAAATCCGATATTTCGTTAGTTTACTAAGCGAGGAGGAGATACGTATATGTTCATTTTGATTGAAGAAGCATTATTTTCCTATCAAATCGAAATTAGATCGCGCACGTTGCAGTGGTATTTTCAATTGTTATATCGAAAGCGTCATTATCGAAGCGAAATGTCATTCTATAGTGATCTCCATCAGAGTTACGAAATTTCTCCACGACAATATAAAATTATGGAGGCAATTATCGATTTCTGGCTGACATAACTCTCTCATTATAAGCTACAGTGATATATTTGGTGGTATAACAACGTGCCAGGTGGCGTGTTATCAACCCTTCGCGGAACACACATTGCACGCATATGTTAGGAACACGTCGATGGAGAATGGAGGTAAACGGTGCCAACTAAATACCCCGAGTGTTTAGAATTAGATCCAGTTCGTCAGGAGACAACGAACGCCCATTAGATCGCGGAGCGGTTCAGTCAATTTTATCGTTGCGTACACACGTTAAGTGGCATGAGCATATCAAGAGTGTCATCTCGGTAATTTTCATTTCGCAACATTTCGAAGCGATCCGTGCCGGCAGCAACTCCCGCTTGTAAAAAGATGACATCGTAATATTGTAACGTTATGATAAAATAAACATTATGATCGACAAACTTAATAAATTAAGAGCGATTTTTTAATTCAAAACCGTACACTGTTAAATCTATAATGTTAATTTGACATTATATAGTTTCAAATTTGTTTTAGTATAAAATAACGATATATTAAATGGGAGCTGTGGCGACTTAAATTAGATTAAATTTGATACTCTATAGATTTAACAGTGTACACTAACCATTATAATTCAGGATTGTCATCAAATTCTTTATCTAAAATTCTGTGACTTTTTCCTTGACTTTCAATAGCAGATTTCTATTTCAAAATTGTATGTATTTTTCTTTTTAACATAGCATAGTAAATTACTATCAATATTGCCGACACTGCGTTTTTAATTTAATTTTCTAAATAGTTTTGTGAAACTGACTTTTTCTATAATTTCTCTGACCGTTTCCAATTTCTCTGACAATTTTTTAATTTCCATAATTTTCAATTTTGTGGCAACCCTGTAAATCGTTATCCTAAATTGCAAACTGCGGAATCCTTTAATTCTTTGTCAAAGAGAATGAAATACCGTAAAAAAGCTCATTTCACATATTCATGGTTTGATAGATCAAATAAAATGGACGGCAGAACAGAGTGCTATAGTGAATTCGAATGCAACAGTACGAACCAATGCACATTAAAGTCTGCCGTACGCACAAATTGACATAAAGGCGTATGCATAGTAATACTGTGTTATCATACATAAGCAGTTGGATCAGCAAAATATATATATGCGCTCGGCATAACTTATCGCATTGTCTGGTAGAGAGAATACACGCTGAGCATTTCATCAATCAAGACACTTATGCTTTTACACCCAGATGAATTAGCATGCAATAAGCTATAACTGGTGCGCATTACTCGACTAAGTGTGCTATTAGAACCAAAAGTTTGTATACACTCTGACAATCAAGAAGTTATCGAAACTAAAGCTACATGTTTCCAAATTGACCAGTGTTAAAACTTTATAGTCACGTAACGTAAATATAAATTTTCAGCACCAGTAATGAATTTGGAAACATAGTCTAATTGTTATTCTATAACGAGCAAACAGAATAAAATAAATTGAATACGATACCGTAGAAAAAAACTTGTAATTTTTACTAACACATACTGCAAAAGTAATATATATAATAATATAAACTTGAAAAAAATTAATGTTATAAAAAACGAGCTAACTCAGCTAACAATTCGGGTGGTTGCATGACTCAGTAATATATTTTCGAAACGATGACCGTGAAGATCTGAGAGTGCTTTGCAGCAAGAGATACAAGTGATACAATAACACAATAAATCATTTGATCTTTGTTTAACATTGGCAAACAACAACATGACAATAATTCACTGTATTAGTATATTGGGTCATCCCTTGATAGAAAGCACTTTAAATTGACATAGTAATCGTGACGTGTGAAAATCATTAACTATCCGTTTGCAATCATATTACTCCCATTATCTGCAATCTGGGTGTTTCTTGTCCAAATCAATGTTTTTATACAATTTTTTTTAATCAATGTTTTCTTTCTAAAAAATGTGAAAAAATTTAGGGTTACTTTATAACATCTATATTATTAGTTTTTTTAATTCAAATATTGAAATCTTTAAAAATTCTAAAATCTGAATAAAATTAAGTAAGAATAAAATTTGAGAGTGAAATTTCGCTTGTAACTAAAAAGTTAGTTTATAGACGGATTACATATAATTTCTAATATTTGCTTCAAAGAACTTCAGGAAATTTCTTTCATGAATATAACACCGTCTATAACGAGATTTTCTAAACATATTGAATCTAATGTAACCAGATAACCAATTAAATGTTATGTGTAAATAAAACTTTCCTATGTATTTCTTTTTACAAGTCTGTAAATGTATTTGTTAACATTAATTTTCTTTTTCTTATGTTAATAAAATTAAAATAGGTTTTTCTGTAAAATATAATTACAACTTATTTCATTCTATTTATTATTACTCTTTAAATTCTTTGGAGTGAAATTTCACTCTAAAGAGTAAAAATTGAGCCAGTCTTGGAAAAGAGTTCAATCTTTAAGAGTCTTCAAAGTGAGATTTACTTTGAAAGTTTTAGAGAGTAAATAATAGCTATTTAATTTCAGCAAATTCCTGATTTTTATCCAATATATTTTAATAAAAGATGTTAAGATAAAGTCGTCCAACAATTACAAATAAAAATTAAGACGGAACGCGTCGGTATATGTATAGCGGTGTTAAAATATTAATCCTGCCGTCGGAAATAAAATGCGCCAAAAATGGAGCTCGATAGACCGATTAAATCGATGATTAACGTTAAACGGGACGTTTAGGCGACGTTTACGGACCACTTACAAACGCGAATCACCTTCCCAATAATCGCGTGCCGTTCTCGAAACGAGAACGTGGTATTATCGTTTTAATGTTTTGCTCTTTACAGGTCCGTATTCCACATTGCATTCGCGATTTAATGCGCGGTTACAATGCAGTTGAGGAATGCATGTAATGCCTTAATACTCATATCAGTTAGTATTTTCTAGTTGGAAGATGCAGTTCAGAACAAAACGGATTTCACCCCTGATGCGTGTGTGTAATCCACCGCCATGTGTAACTAAACTGTCGCACGCACAATGCGTGCGATGCGAGGCATACGCGGAATATCACGAGGCGTATGCACGTGTACATGTTCGGGCGAAATCTCCTCTTAAATGCATTTCACGCCGCGCAATCCTATTTAGCGTCACGATCCCATTTGCCGATGAGGAAAAAAATCGGTTACGTTTCGTAACTCATTAATGGACCAATTCATTGCAGCGAACAATAGTAAACGCAATCGATTTGAAATATAGGTATCTATAACTATACGTGTACGTAAAACAAATTGTAGGCATCATAAATAACAGTGTACAAAGAATTAATACGCAAAGAATTAATTAAATTAATATATATGCGTATATACGTATAAAATAAATTCTAAACTAAATATGTAATACAGTGCAAAAAATTAATAATGCGAAAAAGAAAATTACATTTAGAGATTAATAGAAGCGATCTAGAGTGTAATAAAATGGTCAACAGAGAATTAAAAAAGAAACATTAGGATAAGATAACAAGCG